AGGTAATTATTGAGGCCCTTATGTTAGAGCATTACAGATTTTAGGACGCAAGACTGCCTGACGCACTCAGTTGACCTGAGCTTTTCAGGTACATAGCCAGGCAGCGACCGAGGCGTAGAACTCGCGCATGGCCCGCTTGACGGAAGCCAAACCGACCATCTTGTCCAACCTCACAAGAAGGGGGTAGGGTNNTTAGGGTTTAGGGTTTAGGTACCATCTATTATCATCAGAAAAAGGAAACCTAACGACGAGTTTCACTCGTCGCTTCGACGTTTATAGTCTTCCTCGGTGCTGTGGTGTCTTGCTTTTAGGACATGAGGCCAAGGCTTATTATATAATTAGGGTGCGAAAGCATCAGGAATATTTGGGTGGATTTAATGTAGGGGCCGTACTATGTAACAAGGAACCCCCCCAAAATAGTATAGGTGGTAAAGGCTAAGGAGCCAGGCTTCACGGTAGCAGAAGCATCCACTGGCAGTCCGGGTAAGTGCAGACGAAAGCATACCCCCAGCCCCTCATAACTATAGTATTAATTGTCCCTGTGGTTCATTACATGTTCGCAACCTAAACCCTAAACCCCAAACCCAAGTACAGGCTCAGGAAAAGGCGTGGTTTGGCTGAACGGCAATGACCCTGCGGCGCCCGCTCCTGCCACAGCCCCTGATCGTTTAGGGGTTTAGGGTTTGGGGGTTTAGGGTTAGGGTTTAGGGTTCAGGGTTTAGGTTGGCGATCATGTCTTCATAGGGCACAGGTACCAGACACGGAGCGCCCCACCATGTCCTCACCATGCCGAACCAGTCTGGAGTCTTCTGATGATGCCGAAAGACCGTGCCGCCCACCATCGCAGAATTCTGCAGGTTAGGGCAAGGACTAACGGTTGAAGGAAGTCCATGATCGTTCCCATGGCCCCTTTCCGCACTTTGGTCTTGAGAGCCCGTCTTTGAGCATCCCTTCCTGAAGTCGAAACCCTGCCTCGAGCCCTTCCCATCAAACCCTAAACCCTTTCTACAAGACCTGAACCCAAAAACCCGTTTTCGACCTTCAACCCTGCAGCCCGAAACACGTCCAAGCCGCTAAACCCGAAACAACACGCAGTCCGATCCAATCGTTCCCAATCCACTCGCTAAGAGGGCCCCATGATCTCTCGTAAGGATCCCAAAAAATAAGGTTTAAGCTGCGGGTCTTAATAGTCAGAAAAGGGGGATTCGGGGCTCTGAGCACGGGAATTCCCTAAGGTCTACAGGGATACTAACCCTAAGCCCTATAAGCCCTAAACCCTAAACCCTCTACAGGACAGGGCCAGCTTAGGGTTTCCTGCGACGACCGCGCTAGACATCTTAAAGCAACAGCGCGCCAAGCAGCTCAGCAAGGACTTAGGGTTTAGGGTTTAAGGCTTAGGGTTTAGAGAGTTTAGGGTTTAGGGTTTAGAGGGTTTAGAGTTTAGAGGGTTTAGGGTTTAGAGGGTTTAGGGTTTAGGGTTTAGGGTTTAGGGTTTAGGGTTTAGGGTGTAGGGTTCTGGGTTTAGGCTTAGGGGGACTCAACACTACACCTGAAAGTCGTATCCTGGTATATCGAAGAAGCTTTCTGCCAGCCGGGTGCCACTGGGTAGATTAGACTAAAGTCTATAATGCAGCTATGTGTATACAGATATATATATATATAACATAATATAGAGGGACTTCAAGGGAAGACCCTTACCCAGTGTTCAAACCTGTATAGCTTGTGCGATGCTTTCGGAAGGCCTGCGTAGCCCTTTGTGGATTTTTCCACTGGTTGGGATTGCAGGGCTTTGGGTTTCAGGGCTCATACGTGCTTACTTAGCAGATGGTACTTGTCAACGGGCTAAACCCTAAACCCTAAA